GTTTAAATTATTAAATTGAATTCTAAAGAAGGCAACTCCCCTATCTAAAGAACACACAAAACATTTCCACGCGAAATGAAGTATTTATCTGATCACTCCTGTTCAAAAATGAATTTAAAACTAGTTGAAAGAATTTTATCATGTAGTTACATGTGTGCCTAAGTACGTGTATGATTTCAGGTGCGTAAAAACTGCTTCATAATCAAAGGGAACAATATCAACCAAAGGTCAATGACCTAACACACGTCCACTACATGTATCTGCAGCTAATTTGGTTAAAAAATATTTAAAATTCGGTTAAAAATAGCAAGGTATATAGGAAATGTAGGTTATGTAGAATATTCAAAATTAACTTGAATATAATGCGTATGATTTAAAAAAAAACTGAAGGTTTCGTCTTAACCTTTTTAGTTTCCGGGAACTGGTCTCTGTGGACTTCCTGGTCCAGTTGTGACGTCACGTGTGGATTCGGTAACCAGTCGCGCAGCCGCAGTTGTGACGACCCCCCTCCCCAACATGGCGGCGCGAACTGTACCGGAAGTTCCGCTGAAGTCCGGACCTGCGACAGCGGGCAGCCGTGTGCAGGTAAAAAATGGTTGTGTAAGATAAAACTGTGTGAAATAATTTCAGTGTTAAAAATATGTCAACACCCTTTAAAAATATTTCTAGAATTAAATTACTTCTACAGTTACATGTGCAAAGATTGGGTGTAACAGGTCGTTCGGTTTTGGGTAGATAGCTCCAGCCGCGCCGCGTGACTACGAAGCTGACGTGTTACGTTGAAGGACAGTTATACCGGCTATACTGATACAGAATTGATAAACTCACATTAAACTTAAATTCTAAAACAAAACAAACAATATTTACAAATCTTAATTAATATGTCCGTGCATCTTTAGCTTTGAAGACGATGTTAAAACTCTGTTTCGCATCGGGCGTCTTTTTTGCAGTTGACGGAAGTTGGTCGGAGTGGAATTCGTGGTCCGCCTGTGACGTGACCTGCGGTGTTGGACACCAGACACGGAACCGAAGCTGTAACAACCCAGAGCCACTGCACGGCGGCGCCAACTGCACTGGGATCTCAGAGGACCGAAAACCGTGCGATAACCTGCCTCCCTGTGCAGGTATACCTAGCGACATCAACCGTTGTGTTCTAGCCTGCTTACCTAGGGAATGATTCGTAAAATTTTCTAAATTCTTTCAGATCGATTGTAATATACTGTAAACATGCCTTCACCCCTGCAGGTGAGGCGTCGCTTGAAATAAGATCTGTGCCCTGTTTATAATTTGTTGCAGTTGACGGGGTCTGGTCTCTGTGGACGGTCTGGTCCAACTGTGACGTGACCTGTGGTGTTGGACACCAGACAAGGAACCGAAGCTGTGACAACCCAGAGCCACTGCACGGCGGCGCTAACTGCACTGGGACCCAAGAGGACCGAAAACCGTGCTATAACCTGCCTCCCTGTGCAGGTATGCCTAGCGACATCAACCGTTGTGTTCTAGCGTGCTTACCTAGGGAATGCATTCGTAATTTTTTTTTAATTCTTTCAGATTGATTGTAATATACTGTAAACATGCCTTCACCCCTGAGGCGTCGCTTAAAATAAGAAGATCTGTGTCCTGTTTATAATTTGTTGCTAGAGACATCAACCGTTGTGCTCTGTCCCATAGCTATACTTATGCTTAGGTCACAATTCAAGAAAGGGGCCCGCTCGGCGCGTGTTCGGCGTGTTTTTTGGCACTACCGAACGGGACCTGGACGGAGACCGGCGGGCTTTCCGACGGCTGCCGGCCTATTTTTGGCCCCGCGCGGTCGCCGAATCGATTTTAACTCAGAGTTAAAAACACTTCGGGCCCCGTTCGGCAAATACGCCGAAGCGACGCCGTAACCTCACTGCCCGGGACCCGTCGGGCGGCCGAACAGGCACCTGCCTAAGTTTATGACGTCACATATGCTGATCAGTGCATCAGATGGTCAGGAAAAGGGGGTTATAGGGAGCATATATAAACTCCTGCCTCAGACTACGTCGCACAGTTCACCATGTGTGTGTTACATCGTGTACCTGTGTGTGTTACACCTTGTATTTGTGTGTCAGAATGTCGAAGGGCAAGGGAAAACAGCCGGCACGGCTCTCTTGCCAGCTTCATAAAACAGATCATAACAGGAATAAAATGTGTCTGACATTATCTCTTGTTACATCATATGCCTTCGTAATGAAATGGAAGCAGAAGTTATTGGCATTTATTTTCGGTCCAAATTTCAACAGAAGTAACGATATTCAGTGGTTTTATTGCTCAATAGCAAGGAGCTGCCACGGCACACTTCCTGCGTCACTGTTGAAGTGTAGTAGGCCCTCAGTGACTTTTGCGACGCACCGGTTCTGCCTGCCTCTCTTCTTCAGCTACCAGAAGACCTACTTGTAGGTTGTTACCAATCTCAATCTCAGACGGGCTTGTAAGTTGTCTTCAGTGTACTCTTTACTCGACGTGTCGTACATTGCAAAACAAGTGAACGGTAGCAGGCAGTGCAGCGCTTATATATGTACCTGCTCAAAAACACGAGAGGAGCCCGTCGGGATCCCGCCAGGAACCCGCCAGGGACCTGACAGCTGCCCGGCCGAAATGTAAGAGCCGGTCGGCACCCTACCACACGCCGCACGGGTCAAGACGGGCGACTGACCGGGCACCGGACGGGTCCCTGACAGAAACCGGCCGCTAAAGTTTATGAATATTAATGAGAGCCGCCGGCCGGAGCACAACCAGGCCCCGACTGGGAGCCGTAAAGGAACATTTAATTGTGACCTTGACAGTCGGCGCACGCTCGGCGTCATGACGCCGGCCGGCGTCTACACCGAGGACATGCCGAACGGGCGCCGTTTCAAATGTGACCTAAGCATTAGGGAATACATTTGTAAAAGTTTCTAAATTCTTTCAGATTGACCGTATCATACTGTAAACATGCCTCCGCCCCTGATGCGTCGCTTAAAATAAGAAGATCTGCGTCCTGTTTATAATTTGTTGCAGTTGACGGGGTCTGGTCTCCGTGGACGGTCTGGTCCGCCTGTGACGTGACCTGCGGTGTTGGACACCAGACAAGGAACCGAAGCTGTGACAACCCAGAGCCACTGCACGGCGGCGCTAACTGCACTGGGACCTCAGAGGACCGAAAACCGTGCGATAACCTGCCTCCCTGTGCAGGTATGCCTTTAGCCTGTTATTCAGTCTATCTTGTTTTTTCTTTATTGCATTATTCTAAATGTCCATCAGCAGGGGGTAGCACAAATGCTTCTCCATGAATTGGATACAATTTGTCACATCAAAATATCAAGAAAAAATACATGAACATCTAGATAAAGTATGTACAAAGACACATACTAAAGTATTAAAATATACATTGGGACAGACCTTCTTCGGGGCTCTGATAGTTACTTCAGATTGATCGTAATATACTGTAAATATGCTTCCACCCCTCAGGCGTCGCCAAAAAATGAGAAGAGCTGTGCACTGCGATCTTGTGTGGTGGTAAGGCCACACCGACCTAATTTTATGGATGACATCCTCTGAAGTCCCCCAAACTAGTGCGCGCGGGCCAAAAATAAAAATGCTACTAAACCACAGGAATACAAAGCCGGTATTGTGAATTTGGCTCATTACATTGCGACGTATACGACAAGCCGGCACATACTGGCTTTTTGCGGAGTTTATGATTCGACACTTTAGGTATGTATTGAGTTCTTGAGTCGTGGAGCTTCGGTAGCCTGGGTGCCGTCCTCCAGACTGAGAGTTAACACCGGCTTAGTTATCGCTTACCACCATGGACTACCCAGGCCTAAAGCCAGGCCAGAGCCTCGGAAGACATGATATTTTTTTTTAGATCAGGCGAAAATCAATGCGCGCGTGGATGTCATCCATGAAATTAAGTCGGTGTGGCCTAATGAAACAAAAATGAGAAGAGCTGTGTCCCCTTTGTTGCAGTTGCTGGGGTCTGGTCTCCGTGGACGGTCTGGTCCAACTGTAGCGTGACCTGCGGGAATGGTGAGCGGACCCGCCGTCGCACTTGCGACCATCCGCCGCCCCAACATGGCGGTGCCAACTGTACCGGCAACGCGAGTCAGTCGCAGGCTTGTGGACAAGATCAGGCATGCTATGGTAACTTTTTTGCACAAAATTACTTATATCTAATACAGTTTCTTTTAATAGACTCGATAACTGTCCCTACTACATGTATTTAGCACGTTCTTTCTTCAAAATCACATTCAATTTCCTCACTGAAGACACCTGCATTGGGGTGCAATGCAATACTTCTTCTTGCCGCGTGGTGGCGTTGTGTCAAGAAAATGCAGTCCGACACGTGACTAAGTCACCAATTTCACACTTCCCATAATGCCTAGTAAAGATCACGGATATGACGTATGACCAAACCCCCTCCCCCTTCCTCGATGTAATATTTCCAACAAGTTCTATCGAGAAACTGGTCAACTATATTCTTTTGAATTATTTATCTAGTATAAATCGCATGCCATAATTGTATTTTTGTTGGAATTAGAGAAAATGACGTACCTTCTATCGTTCTACCTTCTACCGATGACTCTCCTACTCGAACGGTCGCATTACGTATATCCCCTTCTTACGTCATATCCCATCCATATCCGTGATCTTTACTAGGCATTATGGTAAGTGTGAAATTGGTGAATATCCTCCTCATATCTGTTTACGGGTTGGTGTAGATTTCCTGAAAATCTAGTTCATGAGTTTTAATCATCGATAATGTTGAATGTATTAATCTTGTTCTTGTAGTCCCAAGTGTGACATCCGATGCGAGACCAGACCTCGTGAACAACGGCATCGTCACAGACTCCACCTTAGCAGTGATATTCAGCGACCGGATGTTTTCTGTCGGTCTGGGAACAATTACCGATTTCATTGTTATTGTAGCAGAAGATGTTACAGGTTAGTCAGCTTGCCATTTATTTTCCGATATAGGTCCGGTAAACTACAACGTTTTTCAGCATTAAAGCAATATTATATAAGATTTTCATTCTTTCAAACATCGTTGTTTTACACATTTTCCTTCGCTATAAGGCTATCTGGATTCATAATGACATTTGGGGAGTAAAGTATCAATGTCGTTGGGCCACACAAACGTGTTGAAAAACTGCCAACTCCTCGGAACGAAAACCACTGTTTGTTTACGAGCCACAGCGGACCTGGCGCAACTTATTCTCGCGCTGCGCTGAGTCGCCGCAAAAGCGAAAAAGCGACGCTAATATGTTGAAAGTTATTGAAAATCTTACCGGGCCCAAAGAGACGAAATTGTCATCATATGAAACTGCTATTTACCAAACATTTGCGATGTACCCTGCAATGGGAGCCAGACTAGAAACGGGCCAGCCAACTCCCCCGTAGCTGCCGAAGTGCTGTTGGCTAGCGAAAGGCCCGATACTAGTCTGGCTCCCAGGGTAGACGCCATGGTATGTTTGTAGAAATTAATTTTGCATCCCTGATCATGGTCTCCTCGTCTAGGTCTGAATGATTCCGTGGAAGCAGGACTCGTACAAAACGCGCAGATCCTGTACAGCTGGTATGACGTGCAGGGGCTCAGTCCGGTTCCGCCATATCAAGTGTCCAGCCCCGCACCGTATCCCTTCGCTAGCGACCAGAGGAAGAAGAGAAGTACGGAAAGTCAGGATATAAGTTTCACCATTGGGGATGAAAACTGCACGGATCCAAACGTTACCCTCTACTGCAACGGTCCACTAAAACCTGCCACTACTTACAGGTGTGTATCTGAGTAGCACATTCACTCGCCACACCGACTTGATTTTATGGATGACTTCTTCTGAAGACCCCCAAACTATTGCGCGCGGGCGAATAAAAAAATTCCGGCCCAAAATAAAAATGCTACTAAACCACAGGGATAAAGCTGGTGTTGTGAATTTGCGGCAGTACTTAGCGACGTATAGGACAAGCCGGCACATGCTGGCTTTTTGCGTAATCGGCACTGTACGTATGTACTGAGTTCTTGAGTCGAGGAGCTCCAGTATCCTGGGTGCCACTCTCATAGTTACCACCGGCTCCCTATTGACGCTAACTAGCATGGACGACCCTAGCCTAGAACCAGGCCAGAGCCTCGGTGGCTGTGATCGTTTTATTTAAGGACAGGCGAAAATCAATGCGCGCGCGGATGTCATCCATAAAATTAAGTCGATGTGGCTTAATACACGGCTGTAAGTATTCCTCTTACAGGAATTACAAAACCATAGTAATAAAACATGTTTTGATTATCTATAGGCTCATTTGTCTAAATAAAATCTTTCCTGTGAAAATGAGGTCTAAGAATCTAAAAGTCAAACCAAAGTTTCAATAGCACCTCGCTCGATTGTCTTCATCGGGGAATGAATGGACTCTACTAGCCCTAGCAACTTAAGCCACGGTCACAACCCGCCGTACGTGCTTCTGCGTGCTGTCTACGTGCAGAAACGTGGGCAAACGTAGGGCATCCGTGCGTGGTGAGTACCACCTCCGTACGCCTACGGATTTGGGAGCACGCAGACACGCCGTAGAACTTTTAAGTGCACGTGAAACTTTTTCTACGTGGGGTCTGCGGATTCACCACCCGTGCGTGCTAGTACGAGCAACGCGCGTGCCCCGTACGTGCCGTACGGAAGAAGCACGTGTGAGTACGGCCTCCTTACGGTTAAGTTGCAATCGCACAGAGATCGTACGTTGTAAGCACCTACAACTCATTTACCACTTGCGTAACGTACGATGCACGCAACCGCTCACGGCCAGACGTGGCGTGCAGACCACACTCTTACACCTTGCGAAACCGTGCGAGTGACGTGCGTAGACGCCACTCCTTCCCCACGTTTTCAGAAAAAACGTAGCAGACGTAGCCTCCCAAAAAACGTACGGACAAAAAGCACGTACGGCGGGTTGTGACCAGGGCTTTAACGAGGGGGATACAGACGCAGTCACGTTCTGGACGCATCCTCAATGTCACAATGATGCGGATGGGAATAGAAAGTCCATGCAAGGAATGTGGTTAAAGACTTGTCAAACCGAGGGCCAGGTTATCTTAAAAGTTTATCTGTGTCGGTAGATGTCATGTAATTTCCAACATAATTACAAGAAATTGGACTTACCCAAATTTTCGACTGTACAACTCAAGTAGGCCAGGTTGTGTATTAATAACCTTATTTTGTAACCTACCAAACCAGTGAAGCTAATCATAAAATATCTCCTTGTCTAAATTTTTTGTTTTGTTTTCTTACCCTTTTCCACCTACTTTTTCAGGGCTAAGATGAGAGTGTTTACCCCAGACGGCTACTATGCGGACAGTCACTACTCTGCTGCAATGAGCACACGTGAGATTGTTTCTTATACATTATACATTATCAAAGACTTGTGCTAGCCCTTACTGTTTGAATAATTAAGATATGTTAGGTTTTATTCGACATTAGGTCTTATCCAACATTTATTTCATTGTTTGTTACTCTCTTTTTGTAGTTTGCCATACATTGTACCTTGTACAATTGTCGTGCAATAAAGTTCTTCTACATTGGAGAAGTAATTTGTAAAAAAACACTAGCAGTCTTGGGCGTGAAAGATGTCATCACATAAAAGCTGTTATATGTGAAACTTATATAGAGCACAAGGGTGCTCGTATTGTGATAAGAAAGCACCATAGACTAGAAGAAATCAAATAAGCCATGCTGCAGTGTATGGCTACATCTATTGAGATCATTACTATTTAATCAAACGTTATTTTATATATGTACAGTTGCGTATAGCTGGTCAGAGTGGACGCCATGGTCTGTCTGTACGGTAACCTGCGGCGCTGGGAACCAGACACGTTACCGTACGTGTAACACCGCTGCCGGCAACGGTAGTGTGGCCAACTGTACCGGAGATGCTCTTCAGACGAGGGCCTGTATGGACATTGGGCCATGTCCAGGTAGACAGCTAATACTTGTTTTCAGATGTGCACATGGAGGTATTGTTTTTGGTGCCCATGTGTGTTTGCTTGTTTGTCCATACAGTAACAGTAGATTAACAGGGCCTGGGTGGCGTGAATGCCATAACCACAGACTAACTGGAGATAAAAAGGTCAGACACAGGAAGTAAGGTTCAAAGGTCCAAGAAAGGAAAAGGTCATATCATTTCTTATATAGGTTTTGGGATGGTTTTAGGTATTCTTTTACCTCAGCCAGAAAAAGTGTTTTATTTGCAATAAATATGATTTTCTATATATTTGTTTTACTATGGTTGTACTCAGGCCCACAGGAGCCACACTCCACGTCGACGGCCGGCCCAACCGTGGCACAGACCACGCCCTCGCCAGGTAGGCTGCCTCGCTATTTTGTTGTTGTTGTTGGGGGGGGGGGTAGATATCTTGAAGGTTGTGTCTTAAAGCGATGTTATGTAAGATTTTTTTCAGGGTATCTTCGGCAGCTTCACAACGTTTCTGCGGCGCAACAACGTTGATCGTTTACTCCTCAAATGTCATTATGAACCCATGTAGGCTTATAGCGAAGGAAAATGTGTAAAACGATGTTAACAAAGTGAAAATCTTACATAGTATCGCTTTAAAGTCAAACACATTCGTTTTTTTGTAATTCTGAAGTGCACCTTACTATATTGTTACCGCGGAGAAAAATTAGTCAAGGTTTCGTGTCGTTTCCAGACCCCCTGGCTCCGTCAGACGGCGGGACTATGGAGGAGTTCGCGCGGTGGGAGACGGGAGAGGCGCTGCCGGACACGTACGACGCACAGGAAAGTCCCGTCGACATGGCGAAAGGTGAGAGCATCAACAGCACGATCCCATAGAGCTCGACATACCGATATCCCACATTCCGGGAAGTATAGAAATGCATTTAAAAAAACTAGTACAAACATTTCCTCACCTTGCTGCATCATTGGTTTAACTGCTAATTTTTATGGACAGTTGAAACTGGTGTCACATCATGTATTTGTGCAGTCGTCGAACTTGATAGATGTTACTAATTTCATTTACTAGTATTTATTTATTGTTCTTTGCAATAGCAAAGTCTTTAGATTTACCGTACAACTGCATGTGTCACGGTGGTCCTAAGTAAATATGTGACGCCTTTTTTTGTCATATACCAGGAGAGCCACTACCCACTTCCTCGGGAGTGATGTTGGAAAGCATCGGCTGGCTGTCTGATAAAACCATGGTAGGTTTAACACGTTTCATTACTAGTCAACAAAGTTGCATAATATACATCTAACCGGCAATGCTAGCTATAGCATTGGAAAGTTAAGAGTTTCGATTCACATGGCCATATGCATATTTACGTCCGAGTGACCTTCAGCTGCGTCTATCCTTGCTAATATATATAATCTCCAAAAAGATTCTACGGCGGCAAGGCGGTATGCATTGTAATAGATGGGTAGTTTTAGAATAAATAGCTGTTACCTTACATTGTACTTGTGCAATTTGTGAATACTCGTCAAATAGTTGCACAAGTAAAAATATAATATATGATTGTTAAATGGCTGTTACCATACATTGCACCTTGTACAATTGCTGAACAACAACAACATACCCCCCCCCCCAAAAAAAAAGAGGACTTTAAAAATTCTATTCGTTTTTCTGCTCCAGGATTTCAACATAACGGCCACCTTCACGGTCGCCTGGACGGACACGCGGTTGGCTAACCTGGGCGGGTCCGGCTGGATCCCCGTGCCCAGTCACGTGCTGTGGCTACCGTCTGTCCAGTTCGGCAGGACGGTCAAGGCCCGGTGGTCAGTGACAACAAGCTCGGAGTTGTCGGATGGGAGGAAGAAGGGGAAGGAGAACGGGCCAGAATCTGGAACTGTGTCTACTTGGCTGTCACCAGAGGGGCAGATAAGTCACAGACTCAAGTATGTCTCTGTGGCTACTTTTCTGGCAATGAAAAATAGCAATCATGAAAGTTAATCTGTGTTGGTAGTAATCATGGTAAAACGTTGAACTTTATTCCAACACACAACTTACAGAGAGATCAAATTTTGTAACCGTAACTCTCATGAGATCACGCAGTGAAGTGATTGGTCATTAATTATCCTGATTAAGGCGACAGTGGTCGCTCGCTGAAAATGTGATCTCTCTGTAAATTGCGTGTTGGAATAAAGTTCAACGTTTTACTATGAAAAGTAGCAATCTTCTAATAAGAACTTCATGCCCTTTGTTTGAACTTGACTAGCCTTACATGCCAAACATCTCACATTTGCTTATGCAGAAAGAAGCTGCGGGTGTCGTGCTTGATGGACTTGAGAAACTACCCTTTCGACAGTCAGACCTGCAACATCCAACTCCACGGCTGTATGTTGCAGTTATGATTTTTACCCTAGTTGCATTTGAATTAAATGTATACTTAGAATAGATTCACTGATAGGCTAATTGCGTAATTCAGCTCTCACTGAGCATGACTGTGTAGGAATTGAGCATTGTATATCATTAATCAGTAAAAAATCTTCATCAAATTTTTGTTATCATCAGAATGCAAGATTTTTTTTAAATATCTTCAATACCGACATTTTTGTTTGAAAGATGGCGGGATTGCATTCCAAGTGTTCGCGACAGAAGGAGCCAGACCGCCTCTTGTCCTGGACCTGACAGATATGGACTCACAGTTCATCGTGGCAAAGACAGAGCTGCTGGCTATAGCCGGTTCATTCCGACGTGAAGGTAAGTGCTCAGTTATGTATTTTTGATTACGCAGTGATGGATTTTAAGACCAGAATTTTACCTGAACAAAATAAACTTTTTATTAGCCTCCTTCGCTAAGTCTTTTAACTCAAACAGAAAGTTAATAAGAACAACTCCACATATATAAGGTACTTGACACATAAACATTGACCGAAAATTATTTTGTCGTAAATATAAGGTGAGAATCTGAGGCATTGCCGTCATACCGAAAACGATGGCTTTTCACTAAATCGTGCGTTCCTTGTCACATGGGATCGCATCATTTATTTTCCAAATCTAAGGCCATGTTGATTTGATTATATGGATGACATCCTCCGGGAACCCCAAAACTGATGCGCGCGTGCGAATAAAAAAAATTTTGACAAAAAAAAAGTTGTTTTCATTATGAAATCTACGTGGTCATGAGGGTTGAACAAATGGGACAGAATATGGTTTGGCGAATAATCTAGTCTTCAAGTTCATTTCTTTACAATTTCGTCCTTTTTCGTTTTATTTTGGCATTCTACGACATTGGTATGGTTTTTTTGTAACTTACGGTATATTTTTGGAACTGTTTTGTACGATTTAAAGTATGGTTGAAAACTTTTTTTTTAAACGGCCGAAAATTCATGCGCGCGCGGATGTCATCCATATAATCAAATCAACATGGCCTAAGGAGAAAACTGCACGTAACATGAAACGATTGTATAAATAGTGGGTATACTTTAAATTTAATGCTACAGGAAGAGGATGTTCGTACTTCCACCAGACGTGTGACCTGGGACCAGAGGCGGACTCCTGCCCGGCCCTGCGCTTCTGTGACGTCAGCGAGCCTGAGTGTAAGAAGTGTTCCATGTACTCTGGAGTCTGTCAGGTCCTCCCGACCAACTGCAACGGATCTCAGGGTACGTGCATTGTCACTCATTTTTCCTATACCGCCTCCAAAATCTGTTTCTTAATGTAGAGATTCTTAATTAATGCGTTAACGCCTCTCGTGGCTGGTACGGCCGATCGCGATGCTAGCACGGCAGTCTCTACCACAGAATCTGCAGAAGCTTTGGTAGTGTCACGTCTCATCCTTCTGCTTCTAGACTCAGGTTGAGATCGCGTCCAACAACACATCAGATATCTAAAACGGTTTAAAGACGACTACATACGCACGATATACATGTACAACTGCTGTCGTTCATGCTGTCGTACTAGCATTGGTTTTCAATACTGCTCATTGGGCATGCGAGGCAGAGCCTTACCAGTATGAATGCAGTACTCGGTTGATTGTAGATTTCTGCTTTGGGACACGTTATAAAGGTCTGATGAATGTTTGGCATGTAAGGATAATTTGGCATGCTTGTGGTGGTCTTCAGCATGACGGTTTTTATCAATGTGTAACGTTTATCAATGGCCACACCCCACACTGACAATCATCTTCGATTGCAAAGGACTAAAACCAAATCATTATACTCATTAATCATGTAACAGTATTCACAAATTGTATGTTTCACCTTCCAGCTGATTCTCCTGCTGACACTTTCTCGACGCTGGAAGCCAGACTCCACTTCAGACGCCGCCTGCCGTACTACATCCTCCGGGTCTATACTCCTACTGCCACGGTCGTGGCCGTGTCATGGATGTCCTTCTGGGTGCACTACACCGAGACATCCGCTAGGGTCGCATTGGGATGCACCACGTTCCTCATGCTCGTTCGTCTCAGTAGTCAGATCGAGAAAATGCCGCATGTAAGATGAACATTGAGTTTTTCTATTACATTAACTATTTCTACCGGTTTCTCTTCTGTCTGTTCGGATTTTATGGTTTTTTTTTTCAATCAATGGGAAGATCTGTTTTTTATGTTTACCGAAGGAAAACATATTGTTTTTGCTACGTTTCTTCTTCTTCTTCTTCTTCTTCTCCAGTGACCTCAATGGCCTGAACCAATGTTGTGTCTGTTACCATGGTAACTAGTGTTGGGTTACATCATGTTGCAATTTTATAGCAGGAAGGATTTAGACTCCTTTCGCCATACATGTATGAATGTGTTTGAGTAAGAACAGAGCAGATCATATGCGAAGGTAAACATTATGCATTTGCTTTGCAAATGTTACCTTTCTAGTTTGAAATTATTTTCTTGTTTTCTCCAGATTTCCTACATACGCGCTATTGACCTCTGGTATATGTTCTGCCTGGCCTTTGCGTTCATGGTTATCCTGGAGTACGCCGTGGTACACCATCTGCACAATCCTCAAAACAAGAAGGTAATCTGCATCTGCAGGTTTCCCTCTTCATCTTTACCTGTATTTTTCAGTGGGTGTACCTACGTACTCTTCGGCGTAACACACCAACTTTGCAGGCATGCCCATCGGCTGTCATTTTACATCGACTGAGATGACACCTAGCTTATACATCTTAAACTCTAAGCGTTTTTGCTGTCTAATGAGGATGCCCCTTTTGTACTCGGTTTTACAGCATTTGTGTACGAAAGAAGTAATAATAACACTATAATGTCAAAACGATTGCTGCCCTAATGAAAGACTTTATGAATGGTATTCCCCGCACAGACACAGTCAATTCCCTGCAATTGACCTGGTGTGGTGGCTACAACAATCTTTTGATACCTGCCTCGTTTCTCTGTCACCCAAAGGTAAAACAAAATGAACGAGAAGAGACACAAGTTCGTGCCGACATCCCTGCCTCACGGGAAGAGAACTCGACAGTGGTTTCACTGAGGAAAAGATTCGCGCGAGCGGTGAACGAGGTGCGTGTGCGGCAGGTACTCGGTCGGAACAGGGTACGGCCCTCACTCGACTCCACACAACCGGTCCCCGTGCAGTCTTCAGAATGGGACCTCATCGTTCCAACCACAAGCAAGCACACGTCTGAAACGTCCCAGCTTCAAGACGAGAGGCAAGAGGGTGACAACAAGGACAGTCGGGAAGCGCAGTCGATAGTGATTCCGTCGAGCAAACGCTTCACTAAGACGGTAAACCAGGTGCGGTCGACTGTTAAGGAGAACAACTGTAAGTCGGCTTCACAGGCTTCGAAATGGGGATTGGTCATTCCACCAACAAGCCGACTCACGAACACTTCCAAGACTTCACACACCGAAGAGGACAATGGCAAAAGTACACAGGAAGACCAGCCGATTGTGATTTCTCCAAGCAAACGCTTCACGAAGGCCGCAAACCAGGTACGGCCTACCGGTACCGTTAAGAAGACAAGGTCCAAGTCGGTCGGGGCACAGCCCACAGGATGGGGACTCCTCATCCCACCAAGCCGACTCATCAACACACCAAAGACTTCACAGCAGGAAGAGGACAATGGCAAAAGCACACAGGATCAGTCGATTGTGGTTCCTTCAAGCAAACGCTTCGTGAAGGCAGCAAACCAGGTACGGTCGACCGTTGAGAAGGCAAACTCTAGGGAAGTCAGGACACGGGTCTCAGCATGGGGGTTGGTCATCCCACCAACAAGTAGTCTCACGGCCAAAATATCGCCACGCCAAGAGGGCAGTGACCAAAGCACAAAAGAGGAACAAATGACCGCGATTCTTCCAAGCAAAAGCTTCAGAAGGACAAGCATGCCCACGGTCAAAATATCCCAGTACCAAGAAGGAAATCATGACCAAATCTCAGCAGACGAACAGTCCGAGATTCTTCCAAGCAAACTATTTACTAAGACAAGCATATTCACGGTTAAAACAGCCCAGTACCAAGAAGACAATGACCAAAGCACAAAGGAGGACCAAATGACTGAGATTCTTCAAAGCAAACGCTTCAGAAGGGCAAGCATGCCCACGGTGCAGGTCAAAACATCCCGGTTCCAAGGGGGCAATCACGACCAAATCACGGAGGAGGACCAAATGACCAAGATTGTTCCAAGCAAAAGCTTCAGAAGGACAAGCATGCCCACGGCCAACGTATCACCACGCCAAGAGGACAATCATGACCAAATCACAGAGTACGAACAGTCCGAGATTCTTCAAAGCAAACGCTTCAGAAGGACAAGCATGCCAACGGCCAAAGTATCACCACGCCACGAGGACAGTGACCAAAGCACAAAAGAGGACCAAATGCTGGAGATTCTTTCAAGCAAAAGCGTCAGAAAGACAAGCATGCCCACGGTGAAAACATCTCGATACCAAGAGAGAAATTACCAAAGCACAAACGAGGACCACATCACTGAAATTCTTCCAAACAAAAGCTTCAGAAGGACAAGCATGCCCACGGTCAAAACATCCCAGTACCAAGACAACGCAAGCCAAGAGGGAGATGACAAAGACACAATCATTAAAGAAGCAAATACGACATACCGTCAAACAACGAGGAAGCGGTGGGGAAGACGAGAATTGCAGAAGAAATTGGCGAGGAGTTTTGTGAACAATCATTTTTCTGAGCAGCAGACTCCAAGCCAGACCGAAGAGCTAACTCAGGGAACTACATGTACTTCATTAGATGACTGTGAATCTATATCTGCTGATGAAGTACCAGTTTATACTAAGGTACGAAAGAATTCGAAGGCCGAAAAGAGCCAAGGCATCACCTACATGAAACCATGCAGCATTGATGAGTGGTCTAGAGTGATCTTTCCCGTAGGATTTCTGTTGTTCTCAATTGTGTACTGGGTATATTATCTATACAGCTAACTACTTAAATAACAACTACAACTTATATTTCTTTTAAGCTTTGTGTTTTGATTGTAACGGTATTAACAAGTCAACATCTTAAACGACATCAACAAGTCAACAAGTCAACAAGTTAACAAGTCAACATCTCAAACGACAAATGATTTGACAAATGATGTTAACAATCTTTCTTGAGCACATTAACCATGTTGACGAACACATCAGGTTCACGGAAGAAAGAAGTAACAACAACACTTTACCTTTTCTGGACACACTGGTTCAAGTGGGAGATGACGGCCATATCCATGTAAGTGTGTATCGTAAACCCACACATACAGACCAGTACCTGAGTTTTGATTCTCATCATCCCCTGGAACAGAAACTTGGTGTTATAAGAACATTGTTTAACAGGGCAGACGCTATCATCACCTCGGGAGAAGCGAAAACTAAGGAACAACAACACCTCAGGACCGCTTTATCCAAGTGTGGTTACAATTCTTGGTCTTTCATCAAGGCTCTTAAACCCCCCAGAAGACCGAAATTGGACCGAACCAAAACTGTGAACATCACTATACCATACATCCAAGTAAGTATCAATACGGGGGCACTGTGTCTGGTAAAGGTTCCGGGTCGGAGTTTAAATAAGTAAGTGCGCAGTAAATCGTGACTTTGTATGGTATGTTTTGGCAGCGATATCCCCGATATCATAATATCTGTGTACATATCTTTGTATTTTCTGAAAAGCTTGTTAGTTGTAGCCTTTATGGGTGGCGTAATGGTGGTCCAGCGAAGACTTCCTGGTATTATATAGACTGGTTTATTTCGAAAGGAACATACATACAACATACATATAAGTTGCTAATTGCAGCCCGCAGGCTGAATTGGGCAGCTTTTACAATGGGATACACAGGTAGAATATATTTAACATGTACATAACTTAAGCATAAGCATCAAATATTGCACTAGATTATTGCACTTTTTATTGCACTAGATTGTTGCACTATTAAGTTAAAATTACGGCGTTACAAGAACGGTTACAAATTACATGATATAGCTAAAAACTATTACAGCAAACATAAGATAAAACACTATTACAACATATACAGCTATTATAAAAAAATAATCTATTATAAGTCCAAGGTGTTCAATATGTGCAACATTAAGGGAACCGGGCTACGTAGGTATCTTTGTGTCCCTTTGGGTGGTTTGTATCGCCGTGTTTGCCTAAGCTGCATATTGTGTGGGTGGTTACTGTTTGCAGGTAGCCAAGGGGCGTGCCTAGACCTTGTAGCTGAAAGGGCAAAGGCCCGGCACAGGTTAAGTCTGCGCTCAGACAGACGTTGGAGGTCAAGAGTTAACAAGGCCGCGGAATACGAGTGATAGCTTCTACTCAGCATGGTATTAGTCCGCGCGGATGGTTATGTAGCCTTTTCGCCTGACCGTCGGGATGGTACGTTCTATATGCGTTGTGGGTGTGTTAGGGCCATCGAAGATAGCGATAAACGTATCGCATCGATTTTGATTAAATTCAAATTTTGGAAACATTAGGTTCTGAGCTTCTTTGAGTACTAACTTAAAGCCGTTACCCTGGGAAAATTCGTTTTTTCCATGCAGCCATGGTTAAAATGACGAAAAAAAAATGACCCCTACGCTTATTCCCCTCATGTACACGGTCGTTGCTTTTCAAAACGGTGGATGCCATATATATCGCGGGACGGCAAATTTTGGGTGAAAAACCGTATGGATGTGGGGAGTGTAACAGGTGGCTTGGTCGGTTGAGTGAACTAAAGCAGCACATTCGGACTCACACAGGTGAGAAACCGTTCCTATGTGAACAGTGCGGTAAACAGTTCCGTCAGTCAGCTCATCTAAAGAAACACACGAAGACTCACAGTCACACCAAGGAGAAGCTGTAGAGGTCTTAATAGTCTCATAGAAACAACACCGAGTTTATTAGTTTCCATTATTGACCAGACGCAATCCGAACGTACATTCACCGTGAAACAAAAATAATAGTGCTCATACCTTCGACACAATGTTCTGCATTAACTTTATATTTTAGAGCTAGATGGTATAGAAATGTGTACCTTTGGTATGACCCGGTCGGGGTTTGAACTCACGACCTTCCGGTTACAAAGCGAAAACTCTACCAATTGAGCTATTGCACCGTACTGTGTGACCGTCACCGAAAAATTACTCCTTTGTACCACGATTGAAGCATGACCTCACCGTGAACTTTCATCGGTCATTAACTCACGTACGCCAGTCTAATAAATGGCAAGCAAGTCCTTGGCAAACACCATTACAAAAGCTAATTACTTTATGGCCTGCTCTGTGTACATATTTTGTTCAGAAGTAATCCAGCTAACCGTGCATATTCCCTATAACTCCAAAACATATTTTCTGTCATAAAAGTTGTAACTTTCTTTGGTTGATAGTTGAATTGTTGTGCAGGTGGTTTTAAAATGGTGAAAATATTTAGTAAAAAAAAACAATTAAAGTACCTGCTTGTTATATATAATTATATATACCGCTGGTCATTATTTGGTTAGTATACAATGCCTGCCTTTGCTCTGGCTATAGGTAGTTAATCAGGTTAAATTCAAGGATAGATATTGTGAATCAGGGCAACAATGCGTGATAGATCACCCTAGGGTACAAATGCACATTACTCATACGTTAGCTGCAACAACTTATTTGTCACCATTTGTCAGTCTTGAACATTTGCCAAAAAACTTGCCAAGATGCATTGGCGTAGGGAGCATTTAGCGCAACTTTATCAAAACTCAGAGCAGTTTTCGAGAGGGTGAATTACGTTATGTCCCTCTAACTATAACCCACTTTATGTTTTGGAACATCTTGATCTTGTGTGTGCGGTCATTCGAATTCGTGAAAAGTTTAATTCAACGTTAAAGTTACATTTTATGTTTCGACCCGTTGATATAACGGTTGTCTAGTTTGCTCCACCCCATGATGTACACATACGTATTATTCAACAGGTATTTGCGTTTCGTAAACACGTGATTCTTTGCAAAGCCTAGGAAAAGTGCGTTTGGGTGCGGTGCACGCAACGTCTGGATCATATATCTTATTGATTTTACTGAGGAGAAGGTGATATTTTTTGTCTTTGTCCATTTTCGACGTAGCTTAAGCAAGGTAAGTGCTGGGAGCTACACTATACGGCCGTTCTAGTTCAAAGAAAGGTAGTTGCTAGAAATTTCGTAAGTGGAAGTTGTGTTTACGTTCATTAATGGCGAATCGCAGTGAACATTTCATTTTAGTGTAAAGTCCTCTAAGTGAGTCCTCTTATTTCCCTCTTGTACACGCACGTCGTTGCTTTTCGAAACGGTGGATGCCATATTTATCGCGGGACGGCAAATTTCAAGAGTGTTAGTCTAAGAACAATCTGTTTACATGGTTTTGTTGTCTAGATGATCAGGGTTTTAGGCTAATGATTTTGGCCCGGGTTCTAATCCAAGCTTGTGCTTTATTTATTAGTAAATATATATTTTTTCCAGGATGTCGTCATGCATTTGCAATAGAAATGTTGCAATACTGTGAATAATTTTGCCCCTCAAAGAAAAAAAATGACCCCTACGCTTATTTCCCTCATGTACACGGTCGTTGCTTTTCGAAACGGTGGATGCCATATTTATCGCGGGACGGCAAATTTTTGGTGAGAAACCGTATGGATGTGGGGAGTGTGGCAGGTGGTTTGGTCGGTTGAGTGAACTAAAGCAGCACATTCGGACTCACACTGGTGAGAAACCGTTCCTGTGTGAACAGTGCAGAAAACAGTTCCGTCAGTCGGCTCATCTAAAGAAACACACGAAGACTCACAGTCACACCAAGGAGACGCTGTAGAGGTCTTAATAGTCTCATAGAAACAACACCGAGTTTATTAGTTTCCATTATTGACCAGACGCAATCAGAACGTACATTCACCGTGAAACAAAAATAAGAGTGCTCATACCTTCGACACAATGTTCGGCATTAACTTTATATTTTAGAGCTAGATGGTATAGAAATGTGTACCTTTGGTATGACCCGGTCGGGGTTTGAACTCACGACCTTCCGGTTACAAAGCGAAAACTCTACCAATTGAGCTATTGCACCGTACTGTGTGACCGTCACCGAAAAATTACTCCTTTGTACCACGATTGAAGCATGACCTCACCGTGAACTTTCTTCGGTCATTAACTCACGTACGTCAGTCTAATAAATGACAAGCAAGTCCTTGGCAAACACCATTACAAAAATTAATTACTTTATGGCCTGCTCTGTGTACATATTTTGTTCAGAAGTAATCCAGCTAACAGTGCATATTCCCTATAACTCCAAAACATATTTTCTGTCATAAAAGTTGTAACTTTCTTTGGTTGATAGTTGAATTGTTGTGCAGGTGGTTTTAAATATTTAGTAAAAAAAACAATTAAAGTACCTGCTTGTAATATATATATGCCGCTGGTCATTATTTGGTTAGTATACAATGCCTGCCTTTGCTCTGGCTATAGGTAGTTAATCACGATTCAAGGATATATATTGTGAATCAGGGCAACAATGCGTTATAGTTCACCCTAGGATACAAATGCACAATTACTCATACGTTAGCTGCCACGACTAATTTGTCACCATTTGTCACTTGAACATGTGCCAAAAAACTTGCCAAGATGCATTGGCGTAGGGAGCATTTAGCGCAACTTTATCAAAACTCAGAGCAGTTTTCGAGAGGTTGAATTACGTCATGTCCCTCTAACTATAACCCACTTTATGTTTTGGAACATCTTGATCTTGTGTGTGCGGTCATTCGAATTCGTGAAAATATCAATTCAACGTTAAAGTTACATTTTATGTTTCGACCCGTTGATATAACGGTTGTCTAGTTTGCTCCACCCCATGACGTACACATACGTATTATTAAGGCCATGTTGATTTGATTATATGGATGACATCCGCGCGCGCATGAATTTTCGGCCGTTTCCAAAAAAAAGTTTTCAAACATACTGTAAATCGTACAAAACAGTTGCAAAATGAGCAAAAATATACCATAAGTTACAAAAAAATTATTAAAAACTATACCAATGTCGTAGAATGCCAAAATCAAACGAACAAAGACGAAATGTAAAGAAATGAACTTGAAGACTAGATTATTCGCCAAACCATATTCTGTGTCATTTGCTCAACCCTCATGACCACGTAGATTTCATAATGAAAAGAACTTCTTTTTTTTTTGCAAAACTCTTTTTTATTCGCACGCGCGCATCAGTTTTGGGGCTCCCGGAGGATGTCATCCATATAATCAAATCAACATGGCCTAACAGGTATTTGCGTTTCGTAAACACGTGATTCTTTGCAAAGCCTGGGAAAAGTGCGTTTGGGTGCGGTGCACGCAACGTCTGGATCATATATCTTATTGATTTTACTGAGGAGAAGGTGATATTTTTTGTCTTTGTCCATTTTCGACGTAGCTTAAGCAAGGTAAGTGCTGGGAGCTACACTATACGGCCGTTCTAGTTCAAAGAAAGGTAGTTGCTAGAAATTTCTTCTACCATGTGGTACGTACGTGGAAGTTGTGTTTACGTTCATTAATGGCGAATCGCAGTGAACATTTCATTTTAGTGTAAAGTCCTCTAAGTGAGTCCTCTTATTTCCCTCTTGTACACGGTCGTTGCTTTTCGAAACGGTGGATGCCATATTTATCGCGGGACGGCAAATTTCAAGAGTGTTAGTCTAAGAACAATCTGTTTACATGGTTTTGTTGTGTAGATGATCAGGGTTTTAGGCTCATGATTTTGGCCCGGGTTCTAATCCAAGCTTGTGCTTTATTTATTAGTAAATATATATTTTTTCCAGGATGTCGTCATGCATTTGCAATAGAAATGTTGCAATACTGTGAATAATTTTGCCCCTCAAAGAAAAAAATGTTACGGTCGGATATGGCGTGGATCATTCAGCAATATATGGCAATGGCCGTTTGCGAGACGGAAATTCGCATCGCAGCTTACAAAACAAGAAAAGCTTTTTAAAAAAGCTGGCCGGGGCGTATTTGGAAGAACTACATGAACGTTGCTTATTGTGTTCCGGTAAAGTTGTTGCAAGAATAAAACTAAATTGCTGTTTGAATTGTGCATGCTTTAAGTTGAATTGTGCATGCTTTAAGTAGAAGTGCTATGGCTATGGCAAAAGGAACATTGTTTTAAAGTGCATAATTGAGGCTCGGCCTGGTAAAAAAGCTGGCTGGGGCGGAATTGGAGGAAGACTGATGAATAGTGACTACAACCAATATGGAGGTGACATCAGGGAGTGCATTAATTTTTGCCTGATTTGAAAGATGATAACTGAAGAATTGGTTGATTTTTGTTATGTATGTGGCAATTTGGGATGTAATTGAGTTTCAAAGTGTGTTTTCATTTCATTCAGACTTGTATAGAAGAGAATGTTACAATGATTAGGTAATATATGTATGCAAGAAAGAAGATGAAGACAAGATGCAAGGACTGCAGATAGATACAAATCAGAAGTTTAATTCTAGAGTTATGACTGAGCAATATGCACGTATATCATTGAATGCACACTATGATCACTTTACAGGTAGAGTGATTTACAAGAAAGTACCTTCTTGGAGTAATTGAAAGCACGGTTGGAGTTCAGGTACTGATGTCAGCTGCGCAGGTACTGCATGCACAGTTGGAGGTTAGGTACTGATGTCAGCTGCGCAGGTACTGCATGCACAGTTGGAGGTTACGGTACTGATGTCAGCTGCGCAGGTACTGCATGCACAGTTGGAGGTTACGTACTGATGTCAGCTGCGCAGGTACTGCATGCACAGTTGGAGGTTACGTACTGATGTCAGCTGCGCAGGTACTGCATGCACAGTTGGAGGTTAGGTACTGATGTCAGGTGTGCAGGTACTGCATGCAGGGTTGGAGGTTAGGTACTGATGTCAGCTGCGCAGGTACTGCATGCAGGGTTGGAGGTTAGGTACTGATGTCAGCTGCGCAGGTACTGCATGCAGGGTTGGAGGTTACGTACTGATGTCAGCTGCGCAGGTACTGCATGCAGGGTTGGAGGTTACGTACTGATGTCAGCTGCGCAGGTACTGCATGCACAGTTGGAGGTTACGTACTGATGTCAGCTGCGCAGGTACTGCATGCACAGTTGGAGGTTAGGTACTGATGTCAGGTGTGCAGGTACTGCATGCAGGGTTGGAGGTTAGGTACTGATGTCAGCTGCGCAGGTACTGCATGCAGGGTTGGAGGTTAGGTACTGATGTCAGCTGCGCAGGTACTGCATGCAGGGTTGGAGGTTACGTACTGATGTCAGCTGCGCAGGTACTGCATGCAGGGTTGGAGGTTAGGTACTGATGTCAGCTGCGCAGGTACTGCATGCAGGGTTGGAGGTTACGTACTGATGTCAGCTGCGCAGGTACTGCATGCAGGGTTGGAGGTTAGGTACTGATGTCAGCTGCGCAGGTACTGCATGCAGGGTTGGAGGTTACGTACTGATGTCAGCTGCGCAGGTACTGCATGCAGGGTTGGAGGTTACGTACTGATGTCAGCTGCGCAGGTACTGCATGCAGGGTTGGAGGTTAGGTACTGATGTCAGCTGCGCAGGTACTGCATGCAGGGTTGGAGGTTACGTACTGATGTCAGCTGCGCAGGTACTGCATGCACAGTTGGAGGTTACGTACTGATGTCAGCTGCGCAGGTACTGCATGCACAGTTGGAGGTTACGTACTGATGTCAGCTGCGCAGGTACTGCATGCACAGTTGGAGGTTATGTACTGGTGTCAGGTGTGCAGGTACTGTATGTGTGGTTGTAATTCAAGTGTTGTCAGTTGTTCCTATTGTTGAGATGTGCAAATATAAGATCATTTGTGTATTTGTAGGGGTTGTTACATTTATTAAGTTTGTGACACAAGTAATGTCATGTATATTATAGCAAGTTTGTCATACTTTTCTGTAATTATGGGTTCACCACACCACGAAGTGGTGGTGAACCCATATTGCTTTTTCTGATGTTTCTTCTCCTTCTCCTTCTCCTTCTTCTTCTCCTGCCATTTTTTAAATGGATTCAGCTTCTTCATTTTAGGGCCTAAGGTCCTGAAATTTGGTATGGAGGTACAGTGGGCAAATACCCCTAGGCGTTTTTTAAATTTTTGTGATACAGGCTTTTAGAATGGTTTTATTTGAGTTTTTTGGCTGTGTTATAGCAAATGTATTACTGTGTTAGTGTGCCATGTTTACACGTCTGGGCATGAGTCATCACAATGGAATGCAGGGCATCAACCAATAGGCATGCAGCTTTCCTCTATACTTCTTGCTGATTGGCTGTTGGGATTTAACTTGATTAACACCTGCACAGAGCATTTCCACCTGCACAGAGCATTTCTTGCTGATTGGCTGTTGGGATTTAACTTGATTAACACCTGACCAGAGCATTTCCATACTGTATGTCTTTATTTAAGTGGTTTGGTAGGTATTTCAAGCTTTTCTGCTCCAGCATTGGAATGCGGGGCATGAACGTTTTTTTTTTTGAAAATCAACAGTTTGCATTATGCAATTAAAAATCCTAACCAATAAAGTAGGGAATAGCTATCCAACTGTTGTTTTAGTTGTACATGTATGTTACTTCATATTATAGTTATATCAATGTAAATCATTGTTTTCCCTTGTGTTTCTCATTCTTTCCCTGCCATGTCGTAAAATGTGGTGAACCCATCGCTGTATTTGCTCCAAAGCAAATATTGGCCTTTCTAGTTACGTCATGTGTTCTATTTTGTAGAGTCAGGTACAAGTATCATGTAGATTGTGTTATATGATTATGTGTCTTCTGAGTGTTGAGGCATTGACTGTTCTGCAGTATTTTTAGTTAAATTTTTTAGTCTTTCCATTTCTTTTATCACGGATGAAAATACTGAAATCTTGTTTGATTTAAATGCTAGTAATGCTAAGCCATCAAGTGATGTAACTCAGCTTAGTGCAACATAGGTCTGCCCTGGGCTGAACACTGCACTTCCAACGTCAAGTACTGCTTTTGACAAAGAAAGGCCGTGTACTTTGTGCACTGTTGACGCATATGAAAGTTGAAGTGGAAATTGGGTTCGACTGAAAACTGTGCTATAGCGTGCAAAGTATCTTGCTATGATTGGTGCAATAAGAATACTGTTGTTCTTGCAAGGGTGTTGTATTGTGAGGCCAACATTGGGGTTATCAAATTTGACATAAACTCCAGTAATAGTTTGTTCATTAAGGTTTGACTGCTCATTAGTTTCAGAGTTTTGAAACTCAAAGTCTTCAACAGCGCCTTGTGCACCATTTACAAGACCATCATCACTTAGAATATTTCTCAACAGCATAACACGGCATCCTTTAGCAAGATGAATGTCCTTTTCAAGACCAGCTGTTTCACTTGAATCTGTTGGTATGAGATCATTTGTAGGAATGTCTCTTGTATTTACAGGACCATCAATCATTTCATCATTTGCTTTAAGTACATGTACATGGGTATTTGTTTGACAGTGCAGTCTTTCAAGTTGCTGTTTATTGCACTTTCTTGTTGGAAAGATATGGAGAGCTGATGAAAATTGAGACTGTTGAATTTCTGACTTCGTCTTAAGACGACTTGAAAGAAGTGCAATATCTGGATTTGTTGGAAGTCCAATACGTACTCTGTTCGTTCAAAAGCTCTGTGTACTCTTTGTCACCATTTTGTCTGTGATTCACCGTCAGAAATAGGGGCTTAAAGAATGATCTCCACAAATGAGTAAGACATTCTTGCTGATTTTTTGAATCTTCAAATATGAATCTTCCAAACACAGGTTTTAACTGGTAGAAATCGCCAAAGGCAATGATATTCAGGTTTCCAAAGTAGCTATGTTGGTCACTGGTAGTGTCTTTGATCTCTGATAGTCGGTGGTGAATATGTTCTAGTCTATCATTGCTTATCATGCTTATTTCATCAATGATAATTGTATGAACATTGTTGAATTTGTGTCGAAGTTGTGACAGTTTTTCCGCACTGAGTGGTAGGTACTCAGTTTTTCCCCGCCGGGTATGATCAACAGGTAGTGAAAGAGCTGAATGTACTGTGGAGCCACCTATGTTGTAGGCAGCGACACCTGTAGGTGCAGAGAGTATGACAGGAGATGTTGGGTGGTTTGAAATTCTGATCAAGTATTCATTGATTACTTTAATAAGAAAACTTTTGCCACAGCCTGCTCCTCCTGTAACAAAAAGTCGCAAAGGTTGTGGTTTGAAATTGGTTTCATTAGGTGCTTGTCTTTGCAGTTCAACAAAATGTGCCTTGATTGTGTTAAACACGTGCTGTTGGTCATGTGACATGTTGCCTAGTGCTTGGTAGAATTCATCATCAGTCATTGTGTTGCGGGTCAGAGTATTCCATGTCAGTGATTCATCATGTAGCATAGTAAGATTTTCGGATGTGCTATCAACATTGTTGGTGGCAGTTTGACCAGT